CTGTCTCTGGTGAATCCTCTCACCGCCCTGGCACCTCTGGCCTGTACCCCATTCTGTGTGTGTAAATAAATTTATCTTTAAAATATAATGTACAGGAGAGAAAAGGGTCACCACCAGGAACATGCACTGGCGATTTCCCTGAGGATTGCTCCTCAGCAGGGTGCATGTTCTGCAGCTCTGTCTGCCATGGGTGCGTATGGCCTGTTCACGTCCATCCTTCAAGATATTAAACCACAGCCAAAATGCGCAGCACCCCCAAAGCTGCGGGACGATGCCACCACCTCCTAACTGCTTTCTCCCTGCTTCTGCCTGGAATATTTATGGCGAGTAACCAGTTATCTGCCCGTTGGCAGCTGGCCCTGCCTTCCTGGAGTGGAGAACTGCCTGCATTCATTTGCAAACAGCCGCTCTCTCAAGTGGCACTAAAGGGCAGGAGGTGGAGCCAAGGGCTTTAAAAAGGGGAGTCACTCTATTTGACAAAAAGAGAACTGTATTTAGGGAGGACTAGTCTTCCATATTTCTTCATTGAGACCTACCCAAGGGCCGCGGCTGGGACATTCTAGCAATTCTTCCTATTTGCTCTCTAGCCTGGGCATCCCTGGGCCTCACAGTCGACTCAGCACATGCCTGCGCGTGGCCCTTCAACTTGAGAAATTTGACAAGAGGGTGTCGAGTACTCCTGGCTGCCCAGAACTCGGATAAGAGATCTTTCCTTGTGCGCCCTTCTCAGGCTGCATCTGATGCTATTATGAGCTCAAGGGAAAGAGCTGCAGGGGACGGCAAAGCCATGGAGTAAGAGATGCCCAGCCCGCAGGCCCACTGTGTGGACAGGACAGGGAATGACCACTGGGCGAGGCTCCAGGAAAGTCGAGCTATTTTCTATTGACAGTCACGTCCATCAGAATGCAGTTGCTTGTGCTTGTTCTGTGGCTGGTAGTTTTTAGATTTAGTGATGTTGGTCTCTCAGCACCCCAGCACTGGAATTGTCCTGACTCTGCGCTGGACGATGGGACTCCTGCTTGTGTGGGTGAGTGACCCCTTTCAAAGAATTTGCCTCTCCCTGGAAAATGCCCTCAGGTGCAGCTGACACTCCCTGGCAACGGGGCCTCTTCTCATTGGTCTTAGGGTGTGCCTATTTGTTTTATTTTTGTTTTCTCTTGCACATATATATCCCATCTGGCTGTTAGCGCTTCCTGGCTCCCCGACAACTGTAACAACCTCTGTCCTGTGAAACCTCTGGCAGCTGACACTCCCTGGCACCGGGGCCTCTTCTCATTGGTCTTGGGGTGTGCCTATTGGTTTTATTTTTTGTTTTCTCTTGCACATATATATCCCATCTGGCTGTTAGCACTTCCTGGCTCCCCGACAACTGTAACAACCTAAAGCTCCCCAACTTTGTGCGTGAGTGAGTAAGGCTGATTTTTAAGCAGCTGGATGTTCCTGTAAAGCTTGGTGCTCTTTCTGACATGAGCAGTAAACAAACACTTAGGTGATAATTTGGTGTAAGATACCAGCTGCTGCACAGCAGACCTCTCCGGACCTGTCCGCTGCTCCCCTCATGGATCTGCTTGTTCTGCTCCCCACTCTGTCACTGGTGAAGCCTCTCACTGTCCCACACCTCTGGCTTTTACCCCAGCTCTGTATGCACAAATTAATAAGTCTTTAAAAAAAAAATAAACTTGGGGAAAAAAAGATACCAGTTGCTAAAATTAGTGAGAAATGGAAAAGGAAGTAGGTGCAAAGGTGACGTTGTCACTGAGAATGTCTACTTTGGGGTCCTGTGAAACCTCCTTCCCTGCTGCTCTCCCCAGGCTCGGAAGTCCTGACAGTTCTTCATTAACAGGTGCATAGTGACTGCTAGAAATGACGGTGTGCCCACCCCCTGCAGAAAGCAACGGGGCTGGAGTCAGGGGAAACTGCTATTTTACTAATGCAGTAACAGGCTTGCTATAGGGCTCTGCCTGACCCCTCCCCCCCACCCAAACCTCACTTCATCCCTGGCTGGGTCTCCAACCTGTGCAAAAATAAGGCTGTTATTTCCATCTCCTTGATGAATTGCTCGACTTTGCAATCTTACTGTCTTACCCTTTTGCGAATTGCTTTGGCTGCTCACAAAACACAGCCGAAGGGAAACTCAGTAATTGTGTTCTGCAGAGAAATCTCCAAAAGACAGCAGAAAATAAAGGGAGTCAAAAAACCAAGGCTGAGCCACACTGCTGACGTTCGGCCCGAGGCCCTGGCTCCCTGAGAAGGAAGTTCCGAAGCAGGAACTCTGCGGCCCTTGCTCTGACCTCAGGACTCTGTCCAGCCCTTGCTCATTGTATCAGGCAAGCAGGCAAGCCTGGGGCTGGATTCCAATTAATCTCTCTGTCCCCAGCACGGACAACTTTCCTGCTTTCAAAGCACAAACTGTATATTCGCTGTGTGAACCAGTGTCTCCCCGGACCTGCTAAGCTCTATAGCACAGCAACACACAGGGGTCGTGACAGACAGGAACTCCTGGCTCACCTGTTACTCAGCAGCTGGAGGCAGACGGGACAGCATCTGGACAGTTCTGTCCAGTGAACTGGAGCCTGCCCGGGAGGGAGGATTTTCCGAGAGTAGCTGCAAGTGACCACGCTCGGGTACTGCCCCCCGGCGTGGGGCAGCAGGGGAGAAGGGAAACCGGCGTTTAGGGAAGAGGGGCCAAGTTGCTGTATTGGAAGCGGAGAGAGCAAACAGGTACAGGAAGGAACCTGCCTCACAGTTTTGGAGACTCAGGGAACAGCCCCTACCTGCCAGCCTGCGGCTCTGACGCCCTTGCGCGCAGCTCAGCAGCGCCCTCCCCAGGCAGGTGGCCGCAACTACACCTGCAGACCCCCAGGGGCGCAGGGAGAGGGCTGTGTCATGCTGCAGAAGGGGCTCCGGCTTTAGAAGCAAACACACATCCTTTCAAACCCATTGCCGCCTACTAAATAGTTGCATAATGTTGGATTATGGCGAGAAATCAAAATACCCCACCCCCCTCGGGATTGGCGTGGGATCGCATGACATAACAATGAAACGCACAGAGCTAGTAGGTCATGCTCAATAAACTTCCTCTTGGCTTCTAGGGTCTTGGCTAAATATCGGATCAAATCAAACCCTAGGATATCAGTGACTGGACACGGCCAGACCCTAGGGGGTGCGAATACTCTGGCTCTCTGTCCCTGCTGCCTTCGAAAGTCACGGCTTGACATTCCTGCCCTCCCACCGCACCTGCCTGGCTCACACCTGCAAACCCACACCCCTTTTCACTGCCACCCTCCAGTCCCCAGCATTTCAGGGGTAGTATTTCTCCTCTGTAAACAGACTTACAATCTACCTGCCTTGTTTTGCTCTTGGCATGGGCACAAACCACCTCTGGCAGGAAGAACGCTTTGTGGTCTGACAAGATTCTGGCCAGGTCACACCAGGCTAATACTCCTGTGACCGTCCCCGGACAAACCAAAAGACTAATGACGACACCGAATAGGGTTTCTTTTCATTTTCTCTCTCCCCCACCCTGCCTGTTTTTCGTTGTGTTTGGGTGGGTGGGGGTGGGGTCTGATACTCTGTGAGCTACTGTTTGAGCTGCAATTGGTGAGGCAAACAGCATAGAAAAGCTCTACCAAGTGGCGGATGATGGCGCAAAGCTCTCTGCCTGGTCTTCAATACCACTGAGAAAAGAGAACTAACCCCGTTTGATGTCTGCACCTGCATTACACTTATGAACTTCCCAGGTAAATAAGGGCGGGGAGAAAAATCTGCCAATCCCCAGAGAGCTGGCGGCTGGAGGGAACTTGGGTACTGTGAGAGCCAACCGGGAGATCGATTTTAGCTGTCAACAGTGAAAGCACCAATAGCAGCACCCGCCCAGGTTGGGCCAGCTTTTCAGTCATGTGCAAACCTGCCTAATGCCATGATCAGAGTCCTGTTTGTTTTTTTCAGGCAGAATTATGCTAAAGGTTTTTTCTTTTTTTAATTTAAATTTAAAAAAAACTACAAAAATAATCTTGTAGGCAAGATACCTTGTGAATAAACCCACCCACCACGGCTTGTGATCTCTGAGTTTACATTTTGGTGACAGACCTGGGTTCAAATCCCGGCTTTGCAGTTTGCGAATGGGTGTCTCGTTTTCTTCTCTGTGCAATAAATATAATTACTTGCCCTCTTTTCAGATTGCTGTCAGGATTGTGTTCATGATCACCCCTTTTTTCTTCTGGTGTGAAGAACTGGGGTGTAGGCCACAGGTGCTAGGTGAGCGGGGAGGAGTGAGAGGATTCACCAGAGACAGAGCGGGCAGTAGAAAAGGTGGAATGACTGAAACACACGGCTGAGGGGAGTAGTGGGCAGGACAGGAAAGGTCTGCTGTGCCGTGTAGGTCAGCTCTCTGGCCAGGGATGGAACTCAGGTCCTACTGGTGATAGCGCTGAGACTTTAGACTTAGGCCACTAAGGGAGACCTTAGAATACCTTTAAAAAACACCCAACAATGTCCACTAGAGGGAGCATTCTTAAAAATTGATGTATTGTTTTCTGCAATTCAAAGCTAGCCAGAAATGCTGCGGGTGGATAGTTTTCCGACACACAACCAATCTCACAAATTTACTCTATTTATAAAATAGAAAACTGTCCCAACAATTGCAAATTTGAGGTTAGTTCTTTTAGACAGTATTATTGAATTGTCGACATAAAAAGTATAAGTTCTGTCTGAAGTTATTTTGTCCAGAGCATATGTTGATGCCATCTAAGCAAATACCGGGTCTTAATCACTTCCCAGGTTTCTAAATGCACTGTGGACGCACAGAGGCTGGGTACCCATGGTTGGAAACTACTCTCTTCAGCTCAGTGGTCCTTCACAGGGTGATAGGCTGGCTTACCCACGGCAGCAGATCTTTGCAAGGTTGCTTCAACTTCACAGAGGCACATGGCTTTGCTCTCTTGTCTACTAGACCAAGGGGTTGGGTGGGGGGTGCTCAGAACATTTTACAATATGTCTACACTTCCAACAGAAACGCCAAAATACCGGTCTGAAAGGATCAAGTGCATGACTGTGCAAATGGGCTGACGTCACCGGAGAGAATCCAGAGGTTGAGACAACCGGATCTCACGTCATGCTCATTTGCAGTCCTTGGCCTGGATTTGTCTCGCTGAGTCCCTGTGTTCTGCCTGGCAGGTGTGTTAGGCCTCAGCTTTTAAAACTGAAAGGTCCAGTTATGTCACTGAAGTGCATTGCTAGTAGTTACCTCATAGGATTGTTATGAAGACTAATAAATTATTTCAGGTTCTTAGAATCTTGCGGACACAGAATTCTCAGTAGGCAATAGCTATCACTCTCCACCAAATACCATACCAGAAATGTTAAAGTACCTTTGCTGTGTAGTTTTTCTAATATCTATTTCTTCAAATTTTTGACAATGCTTGAAATCTGAAGTTGATTTCTTGGAAGGGACTAAGTAGGCTCTATCAATTATTTTTCACCACTCCATGACGATAAAGTATGATGCAAAATCCAATTCATTATTTTTTTCTAGGTAATTATCCTTATTGATCTGTCACATTTACCCTCAAAAGTCCAAAAAAAGTGAAGCATTTTCTTCCTATTTCTTTATAGCTGTACACACAGCTGAGGTTGGATGAGCATCGGTTATGGTGGGCTAAACGAGAACAATGGAATTCTGCTGGAGACATCTTAATTTGCTTTTGCTTTTGTTTAATCACAGAACGCTCAGATGTTATATCTATAGGCAAATATTTATCTGTTTAGCCTTGCAATTTGAGTTACATTATTTGTAAAAGTATTACTAGGAGAAGGCAAATATATTGTTTATAAATGAGATGCACGCCATACCTTGTACTTCCAATACATTTTTTTACAGATGCAATCAACTGATTAGCTTTTTAGGCTTCCTGTAGAGTGGTGAGATTTTAGTCTCTTGTGGGAGGTTGTTTGTTTTAGGTTATTGTTTTGTTTTCCTTAGCAGAGCTCATAGCGACATAATGTTGATTTGATACTGAACTTTAGAGAAGCAGAGACAAACATTCTGCAACAGGGCAGGGTGATGGGTACCCTGGGACCCCCAAATTTGCCTGCTCTTAAAACATCTTCTGCCATCTTCTGCATCAAGATAAAACATTCTCTAGTGCATACAAGACCTTTAATGGGAAGGAACTTTAGTACAATTAGGTATCAATAAAGACAAGAGAAGAGAAAGAATAGATAAATCGTCTCCAAATAAGCACACAGAGTTACCAACCCCTTGTGGGTAAAGACGTGGCCAAACAGGTTTGGCCCAGAGCAGGGCCACGGAGGCCCAAAAGCCCATCACAAGTCTAAAACACCTTCTAGGCCCATTGGAAAGGGGCCGAAGGGGCCAGACAAGTCTGGAAGGAGAAGAGCACAATCACAATCAAGATAAAGGCTGCCAGTCAGCCTCCCCACGGGTCTCTCACCTACTTCTGTTTCAAGTGTCTCCTTCCCTGTCCCCCAAGTCCCCGGTGCCAGTTCAAGACCAAGAAGCCAGTGCAGCTTCTTCACTTGTCTCTGCTCCCTGTGCCTCTAGGTCTCCTGCAGTTCTTGGTAACAGGGTGGTCCCTAGGCAAAGGGGAAGTTCCAGGTTCCCTGCCCCACCCAGAAGGAGGGTGGAGCTCAGCAGAGAAAAGAAGAGAAGGAATCTGAGGAAGAAGGAAGCAAGAGGGAGAGCAGGAGGGAGGCCTGAGGAAGCCACATGGAGCACAGAGCATGTGATGAAGAAATTGTGCTTGTTTCTTGGCCCTGGACTGGTTGAAAGAGATGTGGGTGAGAGACCCGTGGGGAGGTGACTATGGCAGCGTTTATATTGATTTTGATTTTCCTCACAGACTTGTCTGGCAATTTCTGACCCTTTTCTATGGGTCCCGGCCAGAAGATGCTTTAGGCTTGTGGAGGGCTTTCAGGCCTTGCTTTGGGCCCATCCCTTTTGGGTTGACTTTTGCCCATGAGGGGATGGGTAACTTCAGGTGTTTGATTTAGAACTTATATTCTTTGTCTTCTGTACTGTATACTCACTGTACTAAAGTCCCTTTTCATTAAAGTCTTATATATATTTTTAAAGATTTATTTATTTATTCGTACAGAACTGGGGTATAGGCCAGAGATGCAGAGGGTGAGAGGATTCACCAGAGACAGAGCTGGGAGCAGAACAGGCAGATCTACGAAGTACACTGCTGAGGGGAGCAGCAGGCGGGTCAGGAGAGGTCTGCCACCATGTGGTCACCTCGGGGCAGGCGGGGATCAAACTCATGCGGAAGTGGCTTTAGCTTCTTTGTGCTGTGATTTAACCCACTGCGCCACCAGCGAGGGCCCAAAAGTCTTATATGTTTTGTCTTGATGCGGTGAATGAGAGAACCTATTTAAAGCAGGCAGGTTTGGGGGTTCAGGGGTGCCCCTCTCCCTGCCTTGTAACACTTCTTCCTTGCTCCCTCAGCTCTGTTCCACCCTCCCTTGGGTGGGGCAGGGAACCTGGACCCTCCCCTTACCCTGGGGCTAACCTTGTTACATACAATTCCACAGAAAATAGGGGTTAGGATGAGTGACCTCTATTTCGGAGTTGGCCGTACATTTAACCTTCTTTATAAAAATTACACAGACAAGGAAACCATTGATTTCTGTATTCTAGGCAGGACAGGAACTAAATTAAATTGTTAGACAAGACTGAACGTCCTGTGATTCTCTAGCATTACAGATGAGGAGGGAGCCAGAGAGAGATAACCAACCTACCAGGATCCTATAAGTTGAACAACTCAGACTCTGGGCCCTTATTTTATAAAGTTCACCATCCACAGGCCTCCCCCACCACATAATCATTAGCTATTCCTACTGAAACAGATGAATATGCTAAGTTGCTTTAGGGGAAGTCTCTTAATACATCTAGTTCTAACAAATAGGACTGAGAAGCCTTTTTATAGAAATTATACCAATGAATCAATCCAGTGAATTTAGCAAATATCTATTCAACCTGAATTATATTGAAGGGGGGGTGACATTGCTGATCCTGACCCTCAGGGGCTCCCCAGTGGACAGTGGGGTCCTGCCCAGGGCTTCTTTATAAAAAAAAAACTCTTGCAAAATTCAGCTGGTGGCTTAGAAACTGTCCTGCAAGGGAGCTAAGATCGCACACAATCTTGAAACAAACGTAGGAGAAAAGGACAGAAGAGGACCACTGAGCTTTCCAATAGTCCCTAGGTCCTTGGCTGGTTGTACTAGAGGTAAGAACATGTACATTTCCTCAGATTTGACAAAAAATGAGAGACATCAGGAAGGCCTGAAAAGTGAATTTCTGCATATTATTACCAATGAGCCTCCAATCAGATGCAAAATTTGCCTCAAAGCATTGATAACATGAAGCCACAAGACAAGTAAGATATTGAAAAGAAGTGTTGTGGAAAGACCATTCACAGTCGCTTATATCCAGGTTTATGCCCACGAGCTTGTGTGCTCAGCTTTCTGGGTAAAAGCTGTCGTTCCAAAGGAACAACAGGACAGACCCACACTGATGCTTCCTGCTGTGGGAGACTCGGCTAAAATAATCCCAGAAAACCACCCCAAGTTTTCCCATGCAACAGTGGGGTTCCCAGAAAAAGGGGAGGTTCCAGCCTCCCAGCCACACCCCAGGAAGTGTGGAGCTGAGCAGGGAGAAGCTGCAGAGGAGACTGAAAAAGTCTTCAGGAAGCAAGATGGAGGCCAGAAAGAGATCCGGAGGGGGCGCGTGGAGAAAAGAGAAAAACTGCATTTGCTTCTTGGTCCTGCCCAGGCGAAACAGATCTGGGGGAGACCCATGGGGAGGTTAACGATGGCAGCTTTGTCTTTGTCTTGCTTTGGATTTTGCTCTTTTCCTCCCAGACTGGCCCGGATGTCTCTGCCCCTCTCCCACGGGCCCCTCCCACGGGCCTAGCCGTGTGGCAGGTTTTCAGGCCTCCGTGGTCCTGTTTGGGCCAGCCCTGTTTGGCTGGACATGTACCCACGTGAGGAAGGCTAACTTGGACTGCTTGATTTGGAAACTTCATTCTTCCCCTTTTCTTTGTTACAGACTAATTAAAGTTCTTACATGTTTTATCTTGATGTGGCAGGCGGCAGAACCTATTTAGAACGGGCAGGTTTGGGGGTTTTAGAGTGCCCCTCTCCCTGCCCTGTAACAGTAACAGTCTGTTCTTTTGTCAGCAAACACTATGGAAAACTTCACAGGCTATAGTGCTGAAATTTTGAAGAAACCAGAATTAGAAAATGTACACAGTTGGATGAAAAGCTGTGCCTGATATATCTCAGCTGATGGCATTTTATGAAGTGAATAGCCAGCATTTACCAAGAACTTACTATACGGCAAGAAGAATTCCAAGTAATTGGCATGAAATTTCATCTTCCTAATGATTAAAAAATGAGGTCATGATACACACTTCCAGGAGGGCACTAGGGGCTCTCATTTCAGAGGCCACCACCATGTGTGGGCCCAGATGAGAAGCTCTGGCTTTAAGGCTGCCTTTGGGGGTCTTCCTTCTCCCCACAATCCACTGCCACAGTGCAGGTGAGTTACACCAACATTCTAGTCCTGTGTCCAGACCCCAACAGAGCCACGAAGCTAGGACTGAGACCTTGGTTAGGCGAATTAGTCATGACAAAAATAGCACTTGTGTAGAACCCAATGATTAATGCAGTATTTTTGTGCCTATCATTTCCTTTTCTGTCCCTCCAAATCCTCTGACGACAGACATCCTGTGAGATGTCTGAGGAGCTGGTAGAGCAGGGACTGGGCCAAGACTCCCGCGCTCCAAGCTCGATGCCCCTGTTCTGTCTCCTCTGCTGCTCAGATCCTACAGCCACAGTGTCAGTGAGATTCAGCCCAAAATGGGTGCAGAGGGCGTGTTTGTGGAGGGGCTGTGGGGAACATGACTTGAACTAAGCCTCACGACATTTAAAACGATTTCAAACTCTCAAGACTTTACTGTTCTTCATTCCTGCATGTCCATTCTGCAATGTCCTCTAGTATCTTCTGACTGTAGCATTTAAGCCCTGAGTGAAAGCATAATCTTGTTTGGTCCTTAACAAACATATATATCATGCCCATCAAGGTAGTAACATTAAACGTTCAAGCAGAACGGAGTGAAGCCAGCAGGGAAGTGAGACTGTCTGAGGGCAAGGAGAGGGCACCCTGGAGCCCCCAAACCTGGCAGCTCTAAATAGGTTCTGCCATCTGCCACATCAAGACAAAATATCTAAGACCTTTAATGGAAAAGAACTTTAATACAATGAGTGTGCAATACAGAAAAGCCAACCTAAAAGGGACTGGCCCAAAGAAAAACCTGAAAGCCCACCACAAGTCTAAAGCGCTTACTGGCTGTGACCCATAGAAAAGGGTCACAAATCTGGGAAGAAAAGAGCAAAGTCAAAATCAAGATAAATGCTGCCGTAGTGAACCTCCTCACGGGTCTCTCACCTTCCTCTGTTACAACTAGTACGGGACTAAGAAACCAAGAACCATTTCTTCACATGACTGTTCTCTGTGCCTCCCTCAGGTCTCCTAGCTCTCCATTCTGCCTCCTGCTCCTCCTATCTCCTCTCCTGATCCTTCTCATGGCTCAGCTCTACCCTCCTGTGGGTGGGGCAGGGAATCTGGAACCATTCCTTTTCCTGGGGACCACCCCATTACAAGATGAGGTTGGAATTCTCCAATTCTCCTCTCCACCCAGCAGGTCCAAAGTTTCTAAAGCAGTGTGAGAGAAACCTCCCTGTCCTCGGTGGAGGAGAGACCAAGCAAAATCACCCGACTTTGGGAAAGCCACGACCCCTGTCAGTCATCATCTTGGTGTAATGGAGGTGATGATGGTGTCAGCTGGGGATCTGTGGGGTGCTGCCCCGAGGACTTACAGGTCTTGCCATGAGGAACTATTTTGCTAAATGAGATAATATATCCACATGATATAGCTTGCTGTCTTTCTTCCCACTCAGGTCCTGCTCCCTTCTTGATTTTCTCCCATGGAAATAGTATCTTCAGGATTGACCTGGAAGGGACTCACTATGAAAAGCTGGTGGCTGACGCGGGTCTATCAGTGATCATGGATTTCCATTACAATGAAGAAAGAATCTATTGGGTAGATTTAGAAAGACAACTTTTGCAAAGAGTTTTTCTGAATGGGACGAGGCAAGAGGTGAAGTGTCATTTCCTATGGTGTTGGGGGTATATTTTGTACAAGCTGACAAGCAGGATTGTAGTCCATACATTGTAAAAAGCAAAAAATGTCCCCAGACACTGTCCTGTGTTTCCTGTGACAGAATACTCTCTCTAGCTGAATGCCACTGGAGTAGAAAGATTATTATGGAGTAGTAGATTATTATACAAATAGTCTGCTGTAACTACAAAATGGTGATCTCACCTAACAAACCTCCTTATTGTCAAAATTATGCTGACATCCTTCCTTTCTCCCTTTGGAAGCTTCTAAACACCAATGCCAGGCTCACGAGCTTGTTCAATGACATGGTACCACTATGCGCACATATTACATATCTACACACATATGACATACACTGTTACATCTCTACAAATGCCTAAGAAATAGCTGAACTGGAATGCAGCTCATAACAGTTTTGAAATTGGATTTTACAGAGAGTATGTGATATAGAGAAACATGTTGCAGGAATGGCAATCAACTGGATAAATGAAGAACTTATCTGGTTAAGTAAACAGGAAGGAGTCATCACAGCAACAGATATGAATGGAAACAACTCCCGGGTTCTCATAAGCGCCTCAAAACATCCCGCACACATTACAGTTGATCCAGTACAAAGGTAAGTTATGCGGTTTTCCAACCTTGCCATATATTTCAAAATCTGATGAAGATACTTAGAATCACACCCTTGTGAACTCAAAGGGACCTTCTTGTCAAGACCACAACCCTCTTATGCATTCTGGAGACACCATTTCCAATAGTATGGGTATGAAGCTTAACTGAGGTCTGCTCCTTCATTGGGAGTCCAAAATGGAGCATTTCTGATGAAGATCTGGTTTCAGGCAATAGAAACCTAATGTCCATCTAACTTGAAATCACATGGAACTGCCATAACAGGACAATAACTACTCACAGAATTAAGTTTTTATGAATGGGCCTCCCTGGTGGTAAGAGGGGTTAAGTCTCAGCACTATGAAGCTATCCACAGCCACAGCAGCACAAGTTTGATCGCCAGCCAGGGAGCTGACCCACAAGTTGCAAGAGACCTCTCCTATTTCCCCATTGTTTCTGTCTCCCCATTGCTCAGCAGTCTATTTTAGTAGATGTGCCTGTCCTGCTATAGGGACACCTCTGGCCTATACCCCAGTTCTTCTATGCAAAAATAAATACATAAAAAGAATGAAATACCGGCTGTGCTATCTAGATAGTAGCAACCAAGATCAGCCACTGAAGTGACTCACGTGTCTGTGTGATGTGTTTCTCCTCAGGTTTATATTTTGGTCTTCCTTGGCACCTGGCAGCCTCCACAGAGCAGATCTCAATGGTATGGGAGGGAAGACTCTGTTGGAGACATCAGAGAAAATAGCCGCTCTGTCTCTGGATGTGCGCAGCAAAAGACTCTTCTGGACCCAGGACCGTGTTTCCGGAAGTGCTTCCCGGATTTGCTCCTGTGATTACGACGGAGGTTCTGTCCTTGTCCACAAACATCTTACTCGGTAAGTTTTGCTTTTGGTGGGAAACAAAACAACTGCCATGTGAAGCTTGTGTAGGAATTAACTTTACTTTTGTCCGTGGGTTTGGAGTCTGAGACTACCGGGTTTACGATTTATGGGGTGAGTGACTTCAGGTAAGTCACAGGACTTACCTTTCCTTTATTGGAACCATCATACTCCAAGATTAAGTAAATAAATGCAAATAAAAATAACTGACAGTGTTGGGCCCATAATATATTTTCATGTGCTAATTTTCAGTCACTTATTCAGAATGACCATATATTTTGGAAAGCACCTGCCTTTTACTTGACTTATTATCTTGCAGGAAACTGACTCACCAGCTTGTGGCAAACAGCATAAATGAGTCATGAATAATTGATAAAACCAGAAGGCGACTCATGCTATTTCTTCTGTTCTTCCCTGTTTTACTGTCATCACACTTAGGTGCTGACTTGCAAAAGAATCAGAAAATAGCTCTGGAGTTCTCCTTATTCAGATGGTGTCTATGAGCATAAAATGTTCACGTCACTTCTGTTTCCAAGCCCAACTGAGAAATGATGGAAATAGAGGATTGACATCTGACATTCAAACAATGATTGGAAAGCAACAGAAACTTGAATAAGCCCCAGAAAGAGAGGCTCAGCCATTCATCATGTTTTGTTCCTATTGGTTCGCAGGCACCCTTTATTTTCAATGTCCATCTTTGGGGACCGTATCTTCTACTCAACATGGAAACAGAACACAATCTGGATAGCTAACAAGCACACGGGGAAGGACATGGTCAGGATGCACCTCCCTCCATCACCTGTACCACCTGATGGAATTAAAGTCATGCACCCACTTCCCCAGCCCAAAGCAGAGGGCAGCGCCTGGGTGTCTGGTGAGTCTGCCTTTACCTTGAACAGCACCGAGCACTCAGTCTCCACATCTACTTACTCAAGTCACAGACGGGACATCCTTGTCTCCCCTCCCAATTCCAATCTAACGCACATCCTCCCCATTCTACTTCCTAAACATGCCTCAGACATCATTTCTCTCCTTTATTGTAACCATCATACTCCAATCAATATTTCTGGCCTGGTCTATCGGTGGTCATTCTGCTAGAATGAGAAGACATTTCACAGACAGTTGGGGGGGAAAGGAGAAAAAAAGCAAAAAACAAAACAACAACAACAACAAGAAAAAAAAAAACACCTTTGGGCACTCTCCCCTGGGCACAGGAGACACATTCTAAAGCATACTGAGTGCCTGTCACTCCCTTTTCATTGGCTGGACAGACCTCACTTGGGCTGTTCCCTTTGCTGCCTTATGAACAAACGCCCCAGTGTTCTAAATCAGTTTTCTCTGTGGCTGAATTCTAGACCAGGCCTCTGCAGCTTGAAGCTCACTGTGTCTTGAAGCCCTTCACGCTTTCTACCCTTTCTCTTTGTTTGAGAAAAAAGTTGGTCTAGGTCTCAAGAAAGAGGTTAGAGGTGGTGTTACAGGGCAAGCCCAATGTGCAATGGCCTGGCCTGACTCGGTCCTCACCCACACGCTTAAAAGCAACATAGAAGGAGATTCAACCGCAGGCACACATAGCAAGGTTAATAAGGGGTTTGCTGCAAAAAGGGGAAATGAGGAAAGGAATAATCAGAGAGAAAGAGAGAAAAATGGGTGAACGTTTCCTACCAGTTCCGCTGAGCTGGAACCCCGACAGCACGCTGAAGCCGGTGGAAAAACCAAGAGCCCCCAAGGCCTACATGTCCCGTTATACAGCGAGCCTGGCTGCCTAACTCCACCCTCAGTTCCCAGCATCCTCTCTCCGCAGTGATGACATTATGGGATTTGTAGTCCTCGGCTCTTTGAGCTGGGGGTGGAGTCCATAAAACCTATGTTTGTGGAGTTCCTTCAGGATATGCTTTAGCGCCCCCAACAGTACAAAGAATACTTTGGGAGGCCTTTGTGTAGTCAAAGACCCATACAGGTGGTGCTCCCTGGTGAGAAGACATAGCTCTAGGGAAAATGCTAAAAAAGTATCCCTCTTTGGGGTTGAGGCTGACAAAAATACAAGGAACTGCAGAAAGAGCCCAGGATGATTCAGACCTGAGGAATTTTCTGATTTTCCAGCATCTTCAGCCATTGTGGGGTGAGCAACTTTGTCCCTCATTGCTCCAATCTTCCAGAAGGCTGTTGTGGGCCTCAGAAGGACATGGAGAGGCCTCCAGCAGCCCACCTCTGAGACAAAAGCTCGGAGGCTTTGCAACGAGCTGGATGACTAAAACTGTACCCAGTTTTGCTGCAGGAACAGCCTGGCCGGGAGGGCGGAGACCTGAGCGGGCGCCTCAGTGAGCTGCGTGAGTGGCCGTTTGTGGTGTCTTGTAGCTGCTGCCATGCTGTTTTTGAGTGTTGCTTGTCTGGCGTTGCGTGGGGGCATCTTGGCAGCCGTGGGAGCGTCTCCCTTGGCGGCTTCTGCGGTCTTGCAGAGGCGGACCTGGCCTGGAGTGTGGCGGCTGTGTGTCGGCAGAGGCGAGGAGGCGCCATTTTGAGCCCGTGGCCTATGGTGGGGAGAGGAGCTGGGCGTCCTCAGTGGCAGGAAGGCGCGTCTTGCTGCTGTAGTTTAGGGCTGGAAAAGACTGGATATTGCTTTGGATGAGGTGAACTGCCATGCTTTGGCCTCCGTAACTCGTTTTCCCCTGATTTATTAAATAAATCCCACTGTTGTTACTTCCTGAGCCTAAATAGTCTTGCAATTGTGCACAAGGGTGAAGAAGGGTGAAGAACTTAGACAGTGGCTGGTAAACTATTTGAGCGGTGTCTCTGGCTGGCTTGAGGGCCCCTTGCTGCCGGGTATCATTCGGATGTATAGGAAGTGAAACAGAAAACTGGGACAGGTTGGATTGTTTTAAAAAATAATACAAATGTCCATTATTGTTGAGTGTGTGCAGGATTATCCATTCTGAGTGTTACCTACAGTATCTCAATTAATCTTCACAGTGACACTAAGAATCATCATTTCATGGATTCAAAATATGAGATTCAGAGATCTCAACAGCTACTTAAGGTCACACGGTGGTGGAAGAGGGATTTAAACCTAGGCAGACACCGAGCCCAGTCACATTCCCACGGTGGTCTGCCATTTCTTCTCTAAGAATGGTCTGATTTGTGTTTGGGAAAGCTGTCATGGGCATATTCTTGGCCTCATAGTGAGATTTCTTCAGTTTGCATCAGTCCCAGAGCTGCTGACTGAAAACAAAAGTCTGTACAAGAATCATAGAGCTTATTAGATTCTCAGAGTGAGGCTTCCAACCTGGGAAGTGATCCAACAGATTTTACTCCATGAGAACTGTTGCAATGCACACAAACATGAACTTAGCTAATACAGGGAGGAATAGTGAGTCACTGACATTAAGAATGTGATTCCGCTCAGTAGGAAAGTTTCCAGTTCAAAGTTGTCCTGACCTAAAGTGGGCTGGTGCTAGAATGCACTGCAGAGATGCACATTGGATACCCATTGTTTAATCTTTTTATTTTCTTTCTTTCCACCTGAAAACTCTGGCTTTACCTTCAGGCAGTGGAGTCCTGCTGTGAGGTGGCTTTGCTCACTGCCCGCTAGACTGGGAGACTGGGGGCAGGGACCCTGGAAATGGTGTATGTTTTCATAAATTGAAGCCTTATTTCACTCTTTTTTTTTTTTTTTTAGTTTTAGGAACTCAGAATAATCTCTCTTTCATACAAACACACACACACATTCTTCTCTGTCTGAAAACAGACATAGATTGGATCTCACCCTTTAGTTGGTGTGAAATAAAAAGTTCCCTAGCTGCCCTGTCAAACAACTTCATTATCTGAACCTGAGAGTTAGTGTGGGAATATTAGTGACATTATTTTAAGCTCCACTTCTTGGGTGTTTGATGTTCATAGCTATTTATTTTGCAACTTACCCATCTTGATGATATCATGGTAGAGGTTCAACGGTTACGTCTTGGTTCTGTGGAAGCCTCTAGAACAGAATGATCCCAAATATAAATATATTTGGTAAGATACACATAAGATTTACCGTCTTAACCATTTTTTAGTGGACAGCTCCGTGGCATGGAGCATGCCCACACTGCAGAGTAACCATCACCGTATCCAGCTCCAGACCTTCATCTGGGAAGAGTGGATCTGCCACACCCATTAAGTAACAAAGTCCCACTCTTCCCTTCCCTCAGCTCCTGGCTCCCACCATTCTTCCTCAGTAGTTTAGAGTGGTCTGAGTGGAAATGTTATATCTCCTAAGTGGGAGAGTAGCAGTGTATTCTCCATAGAAAGGAGAGGTTCCAAGTTCCTTACCCTGTCCAAAGAAAGATGGAACTTAGTAGTAAGGAAAAGCTAGAAAAGGCTGGAAGGACTTGTGGAAAAGACCAGAAAGACTCCACAACATGTAAGATGCATGTGTCAGCGAAGGCCTGTGAAGAAGCTCTGCTTGCTTCTCAGTCTTGGACTTGTACCAGGGACTTGGAGACACAGATGGGAACATTTGAAAGATACTTGGGTGAGAGGTAGTTGGGGGGCCTAACAATGGTGCCTTCATCTTGGCTTGTACTTTGATTTTTCTCTTTTCACTTCCAGACTTGCCTGGCTCCTTCTGCCCCTTTCCTTTGAATCCTCACCAGAAAATACCTTAGACGTGGGACAAGCTTTCTGGCCTCCGTGGCTCTGCATTTGGCCAACTCTGTTTGGCTGGGCATTTACCCACAAGGGGGTGGGTAACTTTGGGAGTTTCATGAGGAAACTTTTCACTTGTATTCTTTCTGTGTAGAGAAATACAATTATATTCAAGTTCTTTTCTATTGAAGGTCTTAAGCACAAGAGTATGTTTAGTCTTTATGCAGCAGATGGCAGAACCCATTTTGAGCAGCCAGGTTTGGGGGGACAGGGTGCCCTCATTCTGCTTGTTTAACAGAATCAGGCAGTTTTTGTCCTTTCCTGCCTGGCTTATTCACTTAGCATAACGAGGTTCTTACATGTTCTCTTGCTAGCGTATGTCAAAATTGCCTTCTTGCTTAAGCCTGAATACTACCCCGTGGTGTATGTATACCGCATCTCCTGCTAAATGAAGCAGGCTGCAGGTTGGCTGAACTTGCCAGGGGAAGCACAATATGAAACAAAAAGACTCGGTGTGCCCAGGGACTGCTTTGAGAGTGAAAAGCTTTTATTTTTAAACTGCCTAGAGGCTGTTAATTTACTTTTCTGATTCCTAAAAGGACTCCTATGGATAAGGATACCTAATAGCCAATTCTGAATGAGGTTTTCTTTTTTTACTGTCATGAAGAACTTCAGGAGTCCAGAAGGACCATTCCTGTGTTTTCTTCCTTATTATTTTCTATGAACAAAGAAAAATAAGCTTTTCTGTTAAGCAGTCTGGAACTTGAGGCAATCTTCAGTCCAGAGAATTCATCAGTGAGAAAGACAGTAACAAAAGAAACAAAAATATAACTGGATTTGTACAAAAAAGTTAAATATGTAAATAAATACATAATATTTTGCTATATAATTAAGAAGATTAAGGGGGTTACACAATGCAGTATTTACTATATATTATATAAAGATGTTCCATAGAAATGTGTACATATTTGACATGTATACATTTGTGTACAGTGTTATATAAGAAGTTCATTTACATATACTGTTATGTATGTGATAGCATAATAATACATCTAGGGGCTGAGGACATATTTATAATAGATATTTAATAATAATTTATCTATAATATTTACAATAACTTATTTATAATAATATATTTGTATTAATAATGACATTTTTTTCTGTAAAAACTGGTGGCGATAGCTACAGCATGATATATATTCTACATGAACGCGCAGCACAGGTACGCAGTGTGCACCTGCCCACTCCCTCTTATCACCCATGGGTGCCCTGAGGGCACCATTGCCCGGTCTGTGAAATAGGAGCTATTCCTTGCCGGCCATAACCTCAAGGGCTCATTATGAAAATCAAATGTGACCGAGTAAATGCTTTATAAAATATTCTTCAGATTTCTCATTGTGAAGGCCAAATACTGGAAGTGCTATTTACTTGCAAGACTGATTCCGTAAATGGGTTCCAACAGAAGAGACTAGAAAGGTTTTGTAGAGAAGGCGAGGTTGGCATGAATTTGAATGGTAGGAAAAATGGTGTGATGGGAGGAGAAAAGCAGGACAGAGGCTCCCCCGTGTGCTGTTCCAGAGCTGGGGCGGAGGGGGGGGGAAACAAAGTTGTCCTTGGCTGCAGCGAGAGCCGCATGTGCAGGGGTGATGGGCATTAAGCCCCACGATTAGGACCTTTAATTTGATCTCCGGTGATTAAGCTCCATGCAGGGGTTCTAAGGACGTTATCTGAGGTCAGCAGCAGCTACAGAATGCTGGCTTCAGCCTGTTTTGAAGCTAAAGAACAGCAGAAGATTAAGGCGATTAAACAAAATCACAGCCCTCAATCCTTTGCCACCTCCTCACCTGACCTTTCAAAGTGTTTAGTGTCTGAATTCAGGTCACAGCGTCGGCTCGGTACTTGCCAGGGAAGCGCGCAGCTCTCCTGCTTAATTGTTCGTCCCTGAAGTGGGATGTACATTGTTCATAAGTCATCAGAACTGCAGAGTAGCGTGGCTCCTGCAGTCTCCCCATGGCTTGAGTTTTAGTGTGAGGTTAACTGGAAACTGGGGGGCGTGGCATGGAGATTGGGGTTTTGTGCAAGGGTTCCAGTTCTCCGGGGCGCACACAACTGGCACTGATGAATGCACAAGAGATGCATAGATTAGTCGTGGTGATGATGACGAACAGGTGCCACAGCAGGTGAGAAGTAATGGAAAAGTCCAAAGGAAGCGGAAAAAAATTACAGGGCCTACACATCAAAGAGAACAGCATCTCCTGGCCCCTAGACGCGAGCTGTTTTCTTATTAGTCAGTCTGCTCTCTCTTCATTATTCCAAGCAGCAGTGAAGGGTGGAGAATCTTTAGAGAATAAGCATGGGGAGATTTAATGCCAACACCCGATTCTGGATCAAATGGTAAAAACAAAATTTTTAGTAAGGAAACTCTACTTATAGTATTAAAAATGAAGATCAAAGAGATTAAGTGATTTGATGTCAAAAGCAAAAACCAAGACCTAACTGATTTTCCCTAATTCTGAATCTAGTGGTTCTCTATTATACTAGCTTGGAAAGATTTTTATAAGGGATTTTTGCAGGAATCTTAATCCCTCTTTTTCTTTTTTCTTCATTATCTCAAAAAGTGGTAGCAGTTTGGGACTATCAAAAGGCTGAATCACAACTTTCAGAACTTTATGGTCGTTCACTCATGAAATTTATAAAGTTTAAAGTTAAAAACTTTTTTTTAAACAATACGAAGTGGGTGCATTTTGTCACCCATAAATTGATAAATTTCAAGTGTTACTCTTGTACTTTAAAACTTTGAGTCATTTTGGTTTTGATTTTGCTTAATGAAAAGTTTGATGTATGAAGCATTCAGAACAGTGATGCAATGACTCACGATCATGAACAACAAAACTGTGGACAAGAAGCACAGTTTTTGGTATGAACACCAGAAACTATTCTTTGTCAAGCGTGACTGATGTAGCAGGCCACACACGCTGGTGTTGAATAACTGGCAGGCCTGCCTTTCATTCTGTTAAGAGACCTGAATAAACATGTTTAAAATCACTCGGAATAGCACAGGCTAGATAAAAGGATACGCTGTGACTGAGATGAAGCTGGGTGTGTCAGGAGAAGGCTGGGCCTGTGTTTCTCCAAGGGTGGTGTGAAGACTTTGCATCTGGATAGCTTCAAATATGGTCAAAGTGCAGCTTGCAAGGCCTTTCTGTGGATGTGTCAAGGCAGAGTCTTGGCAGGGGTCATGCCCTACAAGGGGCTTTCTCCGGTGGGGACATTGTTACCTGACTATTGCAGTGTGATTGCTGAAGAAGAGACCTGAAATGAAAGGGTGTGGTGTTGAGTGTGTTTGTCAGGGAACAAAAGGGGTCAGAAGGAAAAACCCCGTGGAATCTGGGGCTGCACGTAGGCCCTTCGTGGCGTCTTTCTTGTGCCCTTCACAGTCAGACTGCCCAGTCCTTCTCTTAAGCTCTGAAACATCTCTTGTCCCAAGAGCACCCCAATCTCAGCGGGCATCACCCCATTCATCCTTTGCTGTCTCGCCCGTGGCCTTTACAGCCACTTGCATCCTGGCATCTGCCCTCAGAACGAAGCTCTGTAGTTCCTAGAACTACAGAACCCCTGGCAAAAAAATATATATATATATATAAGAAGGAGCAAAATTTGAACAGGGATACCCTTGGCTGGCTTACTCCTTGACTTTGGCTCTGGAAATCCAAGGTACCACGTTAGCCATTTGGTGTTGCATCTATTTGACTAATTCAGCCGCACACCTACCTCCCCGAGCAGATTTTGTTTACCTTGGGTTTGCATAAAATGTGAACTGCTGGCAGTCAAAACTCAGACATTTGGGGGTGACACATATGGCTGTAGTTTATATTAAGTATAAACAAATGTTTTTCAAATAATGATCTTAAAACACCTAAATAGTATAGGTCTGATCTAAACCTCAGATGCTGTTAGGTTTGAATCTTTTTTCTTTTTTTTCTCATTGGTGTTTTTAAAATATAGATTTTTTTATTTATGCATGCAAGAACTGGGGTACAGGCCAGAGGTGCAGGGGGATGAGACGATTCACAGAGACAGAGTGGGAAGCAGAACAGGCAAGTTGAAACACACTGGTAAGGGAAGCAGCGGGGAGACAGGAGAGGTCTGCTGCGCCCTGTGGGTCATTCCCTGGCTGTGGATCAAGTACACAGTGCTGTACTTTATCCCCTTGCACCACCAGGCAGGTCCCTGACCCTTTTTTATTTCTTAAGTAAGTAGGAAAGATATCCTTTTTGCTTATTAAGTAGATAATTCACTTACAGAATTTTTAAGTATGTTTTATTCTTCCTCTTTATAGATATATAAAAGCAAATTGGGGTGAAAAAGCTATTAAGTTATGCTTAGTCTTTGTAACCCAAAGAATGTTATCTCTAGCAAATCAGGATGCTGGATCCCGGGGTGAGCGTAGGCGTCAGACAATCACAGAAGTGTCTGGAACACAGTGGAATTCGGGCAACTGCCTGACCCCACAACAAGGCCACCTCTGAAGTGGAGATCAGAACTGTGAAGAGCCGTGAAAGGATCAAGCATTGTCCCCTGTCAAAACACACTGCTTTAAATAAACCCTTTCTCTCTTAGATCAAAACCTCTGCAAATTGAAGAGAGGTAACTGCAGCGATCCAGAGTGCTGGCAAGACCCCGAGACCCCTCGGTGTTCCTGTGCTGAGGGCTATGCTTTGAGCCTGGACGGGAAGTCCTGCGAAGGTAAAGGCACAGGTGTGGCCTCCGAGGCCAGGTCAGCCCTCCTGGCCTGCAGCCTGAGGCTGGTTTTTGGAGAGCCTTGATATGCACCTCACTTCAAATGCCCCTGCACCCCGAAAAGCAACTCTCTCTATCCCTGTCCCCTTTATAGCCTTTTTAACACTTTGAGTCCTTTTCATCCTGTTTCCTACACTTTGAGAACCTACACAGGGGCTGAGGTAAGGCAGGGTTGCTGCACGGCCTCCTGGGGCCCAGGCTGACCTGAATGAAGCCAGGAGAAACTTGTTCCTTTCTCTGGGGTTGGGGTGGGGGTGGGGGGTTCCTGATGAAAGGAACTCAGGGGCTCCTGCACCAGCTCAGGGAAACTAGCTAGGGAGAGACTTCTGGTCAACCCGGCAGCTGCCTGCTCACTGTAGTTCGCTGCCAACATGGACCAGTGGCCGAGGACCTAGAGGGAGCTGCAAGGCAGCTATGCACCAGAGTAAAGCTGGGAGCTGACCCCACGTTCAGGGGAGGAGTCCCTGTAGGTTGTGAGGGGTGAAGAGCAGGGTGGGGGGGCAGGGTCCAGCCTTGCCAAGAGCCATCTGACTGCCTGTCGCTTGCTCATTGTGTAGATGTCAACGAGTGCGCTTCGCGGAAGCATGGCTGTGCTCTCGGCTGTGAGAACACCCCCGGGTCCTACTACTGCACCTGTCCTGTGGGCTTCGTTCTGCTTCCTGATGGGAAACAATGTCACCGTAAGTCTCAGCAAGTATTGGCTGTGTCACTCCTCTTCTTTGGTAGTGATGTTTCTAAGTGGTTGCTAGGGGAGGCGCCATGTTCCCGCCCACTCTTACATGCAGCCCCCTGGACTAGCTCTTGGCAACTGTGGGTGGGAGTGGCCAGGTGAAGCTGGGTAATACAGGGCAGAGGTGGGCCAGAGCAGAGTCTGAAGCTCATCTTGCACCATGGCCCTACTGGGAAGGAGAAACAGGAGCCACACAGAGGGGAGACCTGCAGGGACACTTGGGAGAGACACATCGGGGCTCACAATGGCAGCGGTTATACTGATGTGCTGTCTCCTTTTGTCCCTGCTTGCTGGGACCTGCAGCAGGACCCCTTTCTGATGGCTCCTGCCAGAAGGTGCTTGTACTTGTGCAAGCTTCTGGCCCTCCGTGCCCCTGCTTCAGGCCAACCCAGGGTGGCTGGGCATTGGCGAGGTGTATTTTTGGGAAACTTACCAGTAATATCCTCTCTTCTCTTCCCATTCTGGGCACACTAATCCTATTGAAGATCTTTCCCATGAAGAGTCTGCTTTTGTCTATATGTGTGGGTGGCAGGACCCCAAATGCATGCACCCTATTTGTTTAAGGCTCCTGAGCACCCCTTGATCACATGCTAACAGTTATAATCTAGGTGGGTGGTCCTCTATCAGCTGTATGCATGGAGCACCTAGGAATTTTACTTGTTTTGCTTTTTAAAACTTGAATAACTGGGCTTTATCCCATACCTATTTCATCAAAACAGCCACTTGAGATAGATGGAAAGATATATAGGACATACACAGATTGAGATGTGGATGAATATAGACAGATCAGCATGTGTGTTCTTTCCTTTCTTTATCCATATTTCATTATGTATCCTTGAAAGATAAACATGCAATAAACATAATCCTGGTACATTATCTTATCTAAAACACTGACTGTAGTTCCCTGCTTTTATCTGATATCCAGTCTGTTTTCAAGCATAACCACAATACCGTTATCACATCAAAAAAATAATAAGAGCAATAATCACTTAATAACCCTAAATATTTAGTCAGTTTTAAAATTGTCTCTAAAAGCTTTTTTAAACAGATGGACTGTTCGAATAAAGGTACTTACGTTGTGTTATTTGAAAACTTTCCTCTTACACTACACATTTCCCTTTTTTCTTTTATCCCATTGCAAGTATTTGTTTTTAAAGATTTATTTATTTATGCATACAAGAACTGGGGTACAGGCCAGAGGTGTGGGAGTGAGAGGATTCACCAGAGACACAGTGGGGACCAGAACAGGCGGACTGACTGAAACACTGCTGAGGGGAGCAACAGGTGAGACAGGAGAGGTCTGCTGCGCCATGTGGGTCACCACCCTGGTGGGGATCGAACTCTGCCATGGTGGCTGGTGATAGCTCCATAGGGCTGAGACTTAACCCCCGCAGCACCACAGAGGCTCTTGAAATTTATTTTGATGTGTAATATAAGGCCAGGAATTTTAATTTCGCCCCCCAATTACTATGCAGTTATTCATCATTTATTGGCTGATTTCTCACTTAACTTGATGATTTAAAATACCTTTCACGCTCTTCATTCTGACATGTACTTGAGTGTCTTCTAAGATGAAGTTGTTATTTGAATCTCTTGTCCTTTCTGCCTGTCCCTGCACTCCTTAACCATTATTACAGTTTTTGCATCTTTATGATACACTTGGATCTTTGTTAATAGCCTCTCAGCCTCTTCCTGTACCTCATCACACTCATACACTGTTCTCAGTTTTCTTACCCATACTATTTGCTTTTCAGATCAACTTGATTATCGTTTGACCAAGTTCCATTGAACATATTTTGGAATTTTGATGACTAATTACTTTAAAAATAGGATTTGGAATAAAAGAAACTTAGAGGAAGTCAGAGCTGTTTTCTAGAATCCAAGGTCTTTGTGTTTTTAGATTTAAATTTTCTTCGTTTTTTTTCTTAATCTCCATCATCTTAGTGTTTCGTATATGTTTGAATCTTTTTCAGCTTACTCTTTTCAGGATAGCATTTTCATTACACACTGATTTTTACTAAATGTCCACTGATCTGATATGGTCCTAACCTGCCTGTATTCGTGTTCATTAGAGTTAGTTTCCTGCCCAAGCAATGCATCTGGATGCAGTCACAACTGTCTCCTGACACCACAAGGCCCTGCATGTTTCTGTCCTGAAGGCTCAGTGCTTGAGGCAGATGGGAAAACATGCACTGGTGAGTTTCAGGACATCTTGTTGGCTTGAAAACATCCATTTTCTAAGTGACACCTAGAAATTGATGTCGTGGTCAAGGGAGAATAGATTTCCCAGCCTGACACAGTGAAAGATACTTATGGAACAGAGTACCATCAATTTAAATCAGGGTTTTGTCTCTTTGTTGCTAGGTAGCAGCACAGTATAGTGGTTGTGAGCGAGATGTGGCTGGCAGGCAGCACCAAGGACATACCGCTGGTGACTAGCAGTGTTGGTTAGAGCTGGCCACTGGCCTCTCGCGGTCTCGGTTTCCTCCTGAGGAAACCGAGAGATTCTGCTTCTGCATTTGTGGTCAGCGTGAGGCTGGCGGATGCACGATACTTTAGCCTGTCCCCTGAACCTGATTCAGACCTTTGTAGGTTGCAACATAGAGAGGGCTGGCGGTCCCTCACACTCAGCAAGGATGTGATGTGTGGGTCTTTGCTTTTTAATACAGAAAAGAAAAAAGTAACGAGACCAAAAACATGAGTGAGAAACAATGTCATACTCACTATGAAGGGGTAGACCAACTGCTAGTCTCATCAAGATGTATTTCTTTTCTTTTTTAACATTTATTTATTTGTGCATATAAGAACTGGGGTGCAGGTCAGAGGTGCAGGGGATTAGAGGATTCACCAGAGACAGAGTGGGGAGCAGAACAGTCAGACTGACAAGGACACTGCTGAGGGGAGCAGCAGGCAAGTCAGGAGAAGTCTGCTGCGCCATGTGGGTCACCACCCTAGGTCAGGGATCGAACTTGTGCTGAGTGGCTGTGGTTAGCGTGACAGTGCTGATACTTAACCCCTTGTGCCACCAGGGACAAGGACCCAAGATGCATTTCTTATTCCCATAAGCTGCCAGTCCCTTTGTCCTCAGTTTCATTGATAAAACAAGATGACAAATGCCATTGAGATGTGAAGGGCTAACATTCAAGATGCCAGTTAAGGGTTGTGGAATAAGGTGATTTGCCCCTAACCTCTGAAAAATAAACTATTTCAGCAGTGTGGATGTTATAGAAGTAGTTACAAAGTTGTTCTTATATTTGGCTCACCTTCATTATTGATGGGAAAATCTTTCCTTTGGAATGAGGGAGCATCTTTACCGAGGCATTGTTTCTTGTAGGGTGCTCCTCCCCTGATAACGGTGGATGTAGCCAGCTCTGCCTGCCTCTCAGTCCGCTATCTTGGGAATGTGGTTGCTTTCCTGGGTATAACCTGCAACTGGACAAAAAGAGCTGTGCAGCTTCAGGTTAGTGGTGTGGGCATCTGAAAATGTGTCTCTGCAAAAAGGTTCATGAAAAGATTTCTTTTAGGAATACAGAGAGTGAAATTTTTTTTGATGTCTGGGTAAAAGGTCTGATTTTTAATTTTTGGACAGGGAAAGCTAATCACGTTATACATGTAAATAGTGGGTCTGTAAATAATGATCACGGTTTTGAAGAATATTTCTAAGTTAATTGTCATTCAGCAAAGACCTGCTGTAACATCAAGTGGGCATTCTAGCAAATAGAGAATGTGTGAGCAGAATAATCTTAAAACATTATAAAGTTTCAGAGGTGTTTATATTTGGTGGTGGATTTGATTTTCGTCTCTCCAGTGACTATAATAATCATAATACTTTGGAAAGTTCTGTTTACTTTTTAAAAAAAATTATTTATGCATACAAGAACAGGCCAGACGTGTGGGGCTATGAGGATTCACCAGAGACAGAGTGGGGAGCAGAGCAGGCCGATTCACTGAGGGGAGCAGTGGGCGAGACAGGAGAGGTCTGCTGCGCCCTGTGAGTCACCTTCCTGGCTGGGGATGGCACTCAGGCTGCAACAGAAATAGCGTGATAGCAAAGACTTAACCCCGTAGCACCAGGAAGCCTAGAAACTTCTGTCCTTTTTAGGTCAAAATTAGATATACAGCTGCATGTATCTTTTTTTCACCTTCTGATATGATAGTCTTCATGTCCTTCAGTGATCTTTGGAAGCCTAGATTTAGACCAAATTCATTGAGTCTCTCCTGTGGTTCATTATGTTTGTCATCTGGGGTAACATAATGAGTTTGCAAAGCTGGCCCGAGGGAGACCCCAATACTCTTAACTTCTCAAAGTCTTCGTGAAAGCAGCCTAACCTGAGTTCTGAAGGGATCAGGGGTCTAGTTTTCAGCTTCCATAGTCAAGCCTGCCTTTCACATGTGTCCAGGACACATCAGTGAATACAACTCACTAATGTGAATATTTCAGTGTGTGTGAACCTTGGAGAGCACAGCACTAAGGGGTGGCAGGATTTAGCTGTCATGTTAGTTATTCCTGAGTGTCTCTTCCTATAAGTAATTTGCATCTTAAAAGCAGGGAGGAATCCAGTGATGGGGTTCTGGCAAGGGGTCACCCCCTTGGAGAGGAAGCCTGCCCTACCCACCCCATCTTGATGGGGGATGAGGAAAACAAGGGCTACAGAGCTGAAGGAAGAGGATGTCATGTGAGGGAAGCGTCAGAGGTGCCTTCTGGGCCCAAAGGCATATTTTAAATATCTGAAATTTGGTTAACAGGACCACAACCATTTCTGCTGTTTGCCAATTCTGCAAATATCCAACACATGTGTTTTGATGGAACAGATTATGGGACCCTGCTGAGCCAGCAGATGGGGATGGTGCTAGCCCTCGATCACGACCCCGTGGAAAATAAGGTATGACGTTGTCACTGCGGCCTGTGGCCCACTTTAAGGACACAGGGGAGGACTTTATCCTTCCAGGTGACCTGGCCTACCTGGAAGTCCTCTACTAACTCAGCTCTGGAAGATGAGACACAGAAACATTTCAATAAAGACATTCAAATGGCGTTTGAGACATTTTGGGGACCTTTGCGTTGACATAATCCTACCCTGGTCTCTTGTTTTGGGGAAAGGTTATCGGGACAATTTAATGCACAGGATATTACATCAGCTGCCTCTTTGGAGATGAGGTGAGCGGCTAGCACAGGTAGGTGTACTCATAAAGGAACAAAACAGATACGTCTTTGGTTTTTTGCCGGTGATGGGAGAGGTGGGAGGTCAAGCTACAGGTGAGTAGCTTGTGTGTCACTGGGAGAGGAAATTCAGTGACACTTAACCACAACATCAGAAGACATCAACTTTATGGTTCATGTAGGAATGGTTGTTTAACACAACATCATTTGCACAATAAATCAATTTTACAGGAAGATTTTGGGGTATGGTTCAGAATTTTAGTGATATCACCCTAATTGGCCATTTGGCATACAGTTTCGTGATTGTGTTTCTTCTAGGGTAGAATGTGCTTGAAGTGAGGTATTAGAGTGTCCACTTGGGAGATGAATCGCCAGTGGTTATAAACTTACATAGTTGTTAATCTACCTCCATAATTATTTGTTACTGGATGGTATGTTAATGCCCAGATTTTTAAATTTTGTACATTTGTTTCTCTTGTTTAAAGCAATCTAGCTAATGACCAAAAGAGTAAAGCAAAGGGATGCTGGACTCACTTGCTGTAATAACCAAATATAAATAATTGTGCAAATAGAAGTTTGGTACTTAAACATTAACAATCCTTCTTTCTGTTCCCTGAAATGAACCAACCAGACTCCATGGAAGACTTACATTAATAGAAAGAAATGGTTGATACATTAAAAATTAAATTCCGGATGCATTTATTATCAAGCTAGTGTTTTCCCTGCACGGTCAGACTTTTTTACAAGCCAGTGAATTAGAAGACGTAGAATAAACTTAGTATCCTGTGGTTGATTTTCATTTCTCTGGTCAATAGACTCATATGCTTGCTTCTCAAACTGGTCCTTGGGCCAGCAGCATCAAAAGCACCTGGGATCTGTTTCTATGGAAACAGCAAATTCTGAGGACCCTCCCCTGATCAAGGACACACAATTTGCCTTTTAACCAGATTCTCAGATGATGCCTGAGCACCATAAGTTTGAGAAACAGTTCTGGCACGGTGTTTTTAAATATGTCTAGCATCCTTTTTATATTATGGAATAGGACCTTTTCTATTTTAAAATAGAAAGATAACCCATTTGTGAATGAATTGGCAGAAGTAAATACTCTCATCATTGCGTAGATTTTTATGTACCTGTATATGTTCACAGTTAAAATATCACAAATACCCTCAGTGAAATGTCAACAGGTTCCCAGAAGTTTTAGACACTTGTGAAATTCTTGTACCTGTTGACAGTCTGCATTCTAGACTAGAGAATCCTGCACCTGCAAGGAATACCGTGGAGCAACAGTTAAAGAGACAGC